TCTTGGCAATAACTGCATTGTACAAGCTACCCAGTGACAAGTCTTCTCACTCGTTGATGGCGAAGTATTTTTAAAACATCGAGCTCACATCACGCCGACCAGCCGCCATGATTCGAAAACAGATTAAATTGGTGCGCGCATTTGTTTATGGGATACGGATTTAAAATTTCTTTCCCCAGGCCCCCGCAATGACGTCACAGATCACCTGGATCCGTTAATTAATCTACTCAGTCTATCCCAGACTTCCTGAAACGCTGGGTTAGCTCCCAGTCTCTCCGATGACTCCGAGATAGACGGAGAATAAGCCAGCACTCCTGTTACAAGTGGTAAATACCGATGTATTAGCAATCTGTTTCCCACAGTTATCCGCTGGCCGAGTCAACAATAAAGTAAATCCAGAAAATCAGGTTGATGATGAGAAATGTCAGTGGAAACAGAACTCTACTGCGGCTGTCAATCTTCTGTACATTGACATCTTGATCGGAAAATGCCTTGATTTTTTCCCGCAGGGAAGACACTTGTCTTTGTAAGTATTTTGTTTTTGGATCACTGCTTTCCGTTTGACCTTTGTACCCGGCATCACTCTGAAACGATAAAATGTCACACTCAAAACAAGTACCAACTAGTAACATAAATGATAAAAGATAAAATATAGTATAAGTTGTACGTAGTTTTTTGTCTATTAATCTGAAGAACCAATAATAGCTTTCTGATCTTAGGAACAGTTACCGACAAATCATGGTCTCTTGTTTACGACGGTACTTCATGCTAAAATAATTGACCATTTTGTTTTCTTAATTAAATGTCGACCAAGACAAAGTAACTTTCTACATATCATACAAAAACAAGAGATGTTTTTTACCTTGATAATCTCTTGCCGAAAATATATACCCACTGAAATTTTCTTGAATTTAAATCTAAATTTCCTGAGCAAAACATTAACACTGCTCATGATCAAGCTATTTTCAAAAGACCCGAGAAACACTGGACTTTCTGTGTCCAATTTACCTTGTGAACTATATAGGCAAATCAGACCATTAGCAATAATCGGCCTATAGACCATTTTTAGTGTGATGGTACTATGGCATATATGGGAACGATAATGCCAATTTGTAGCGTGAAAAATAGTTTTACAATGGAAACAATGTATTTGTATCGAAAAGCTCATTTTAGTCAAGGTTTATTCTTCCACACTAATATTACAAAATCATATGATCTGCTAAAAATGCTCATATCCAATGAAATGAATGGACACCATACCCCGCGTTCCACGTCGACAGATCTCAGAGCGTTATTACGTTTCTCTCGCTTTCTTGCCTCTAAGCTTTCGTGGAAGTTAATTACAGCGAACTCTACCAGTGCCCCAAACACATACACGAGGCACAACATCAATATCCAGTCACTGTACTTTGTGTATGTCACTCGTGGCAGAGAATTCCGCACTGCCGCAGTCAAGGTGATCATGGTAAGAACCTGCTAAAAGAACTAAGTTTTACACGAGCATAATAAAATGAAATCGGTCATACATACGTCATCATGATGTGTTTATTTACTGGACTATGATAAACTAATGCTTTAAGTTGAAGTTTCTTCGAAATCAGGTGAAGTGGGAAGGCAGTGACCACTTTGAGGAAAGGTGTGTAATTTAATATGATTGGTATTTCATTTGCGAAACAAGTTTCAATTATCGTTTAGAACCCAAAGTACCCATTAACTAACCAGTAAACTTAGTATTTCCATTGATTGTGTTACCACGTTATCACTTTTCAATTAGTCTAAAATGGACTGTAAATTATGAACAGTTTGCACGCTGACCTGTACTGTTTGTTTGTTTGTTTGTTTGTTTGTTTGTTGTTTATACTGGTCAATGCGTTGAGCTACACCTACAATCCTGGCCAAAAGTCCTTGGCACACATTTCAAAATGCCAACTGGTGGAGCATTATTTTGAAGTGGAAAGCCCGATATTCAGGCCCCTCTCGCCCAAAGTAGTGCCGGAATAGTGGGTCTATTTTGGATGAATCAACATCAGCATTGTGTTGGGGTTTGGGGAGGGGGAGGAGGAGGGGATCAGAAAGATCGAATGTTGACAAAAGTCCCAAGACTTTTGATCAGGATTGTAGCCAGCACTCTCGGACGAAGACTACAGGATAATCGAGATCTCAATCGTGCATTAAGTTGATTGTATTAAAGAGCCCGACCGTTGTGATGCAGAGGGCCACTCTTGCCGGTGCTGCTTTGTAGTTGATCCAAAAGGAAACCCAGGACAAGGCCACGATCATGATGGACGGGACGTACGTCTCCGTTATGAACAGACTTAGTCTCCTTTTGAACGTGAACATCAAACTGAGTCTCGAAAAGTTCCCTAAACAATTGATAACATCAACAACAATGCTTTATCTACTCTAGACACTTAATACACATTTGCAAAGAAAATTACAGTCACTTACAATAACTTAGGGAAAAGATATGTGCTTAAAGTCGAGCCAGGGGGATAAATGAACCCGTGCGGTTTCCGAGTTATCCCCTAACTATGCCCTCATAGAGTCATAGTTAGCCTTAATATAAGAGCATGCAAAGTGGAATGCCTAGATCTGTTGTGCAAGTACCTCTTCCTATCGGAGTTTGAGTTGTAAGTTACCGACCGAGCTTTTTCCCGCTCAATTTATTGCTCAAGCGCGAAGCACGCGTGCCATAAAGTCGAAGGCCAGGGAAAAAAGAGGATCCTTAACTTAAAGAAGGGACCAATTAGAAGAGGTGCCATTGGTAGCCATTTTATGGCTACTTCACCATTTGGGAACCATTTTTCACGATTTAATTTAATTGTGATTGAATTGGACTTCTGATTCTTGGAAAAGCAAATTAAACTTTGAAATACCTGACCTAAATGCGTGTGGTTTTGCCTTGATACTTTTTTTTGGTTTGTTTTCTTTTCATGCTGACGCTGAACGTCATTCAAATATCAGCAAATATTATTTATCGACCAACAATTCTTTCCTGTTTTGCTACCATCTTCCTGGAAAAGCATTCCGATTAATTTTTTTTACAAATGCCAGTATTTACCTACGGAGTAGGTATTAGTTTTTTCAGATGCTTCGATACCGACTAGATCCATTTGTGGAAGGGAGATATCTGTGGATGTTTCCACAGACTTCACGTGACCTCGTTTCCAGGTGTACTTGGCATCGGTTTCCGAATAGGAATCTGATCGACGTTAAAAAAATGATAACACAAAATTCGTTAATACTACTGGGATGAAAACTGAAAAAGGAAACACATCTACAAATATATTACTTTTTCTTAGTAACATTACCATTCTGCCGTTAATTCTTGTAAATACGTATATATTTTGATGATCTTTTTTCTCACGTAGTTTGAAGTCATAATTGCATATAAATCAATTCTTGTTTTATGCTCCCAATATAACATTAACTTACAGCTCATAATGTTCAGCACACATCTCTGAGTGTCCATGGGATACTTGCGTAGGTTCATGCGGCAAACTCCTGTCAATGAAATCCTAAAAAACATGCGAAGCTATTTTTTATTAGTGGAGGTAATATATCAAACACTAAAGACCGTGTTTGACCACATTTCCAAACAATGAGGAGAAAATTGAAAATGCGACGCGTAGCGGAGTATTTTTGACGAAGTTCAAGGTGTTTGGAAAAGTGGTCAAACACTTTTTTTCGTGTTTGATATATCTTCTCAATCGAAACTAAAAAGTCGTGAAAATTCGTTCTAAAACCGTTATGCTCATGATTTCCTTTATTTTAACTCAATGAATTATTAAGGAGATTGAGAAGAGGTATTAATTGAAAATCATTCTTGAAAACTCGAAATTCTTGGCTGACTTACATTTTGCTTACTATAGACTAAGAGTATCGATAAAAGCAGAGGTATATTCTGGCTATATAAGACGGGTGTCATCAGCTCTCTCTTCAAACATGTTCGTTGTTTGTCCCCTGGTTAGTGCTGCTTACCTTATACTAAAGAAAACTGTTCCATTAGGCAAAAATATGAGCACATAGTTTTTCTTGGTAACTTCGTGAAAGCTTGACTTCTTCTCACTGTTGAAGTATGTATCTGGAATCCAAATTTTATCCAGTATGTCTCCCTGTGCAACAATCTGATTTGAGCCGTTGAACCTAAGCCGGGGATCTTCCCAAGTTTGCCGCAGATATATTGTCATCCTGTAATCCTAGGTTTAATAAATGAAAATAGGTTGGTGAGAAAACATTTATGTTCCTTTGGTTGGAAGTCATCGTTCGCGAATAGTAAAAGGTGTGCAGAGGAGGGCGAAACGTGAGCCACCAATCAAGGCGTGCTGCACTGCATCCAGGGAGGAGGGGGGGGGGGGTAGCAGGACAGGGTAATGGAATAAAGGAGGAGAGGTTTATTAATTTCACGAGAAGGAGGAAGGGAAGAACGCTAAGGAGAGGAAAGAGTAAGAGAAGGAGAAATAGGAGCGGATGACGGGGGGGAGGGGGGGAATAGGGTGAAGGAGGAGCAGAATGTTAATAATTACACTTTTTTTGAGTCATTGAGCTCCTCCACTCTAAGTCCATTACGCCAACAAGATTTGGTTTGGTCGTTGCCCGGAACTTCGTCTAGCTATGCTTCGAAACTTTCTTTTTCTTTTTCTCAACCAAACTCGTGAGCTCCCATTTTTTTCTTCGAGTATCAACACCAAGAGTTTTACTAACTTCTGCATGCAGTTGAGGCTTTTCAGCTTTGATAACAAAAAATATGTGTATATTTCTGTAAAGCTCATGAAACCAAGAACAGATACGCCCTAGGCCTTACCATGTTGGTAACAGAAATTTCTCCTATGTCTACGACGTACACGTCGATATACACGGTGACCGGTCTTCCTGAAAAGTAAAAAAACACACAGCACCGTTTTTGATGTGTGGACGATTTTACATGACAGAATGCACCAGGAATGTGGGGGAAGAAATACCCCAGACCTGCTACTCAGAATTTCGAAATGGCTCATGGTACTGAGACGTTCAGTAGCTAGCTCTGGTCGTTCATCCATCACCAGAAGTTTAATGTGTCAGCTGTTTTTCTGCGTCACTTTTCGTTGTCATAGTAACCTCTTCTTTACTCAAGGCTGAGCCAAACTTCATTTTTGTTTTCACCGAATACTTTTTTTTCAATTTTCTACAACAGAATTGAACTACCACCTTTTGCATTTCATTATCACTTTGGATTTGCTTTCCAAAAATCCATGTAAGAATGAAATCCAAGATGGCGGATTCAAGATGACGGACTTGATGACGTCAAGTGTCGTCACAAGACACATGACCGACCATAACTATCTCATCTCGTAAAACAGGCAGATGATTGCTTATCAAAAGCATAATTTCTATTTGTGTAATTACAACGAAAACTCAAAGGAGTTCCATTGTTCAAAGGAGTGTGTAATTTGTATATGTGATAGGACTACATGCTGCCCAATTTGGAAAGATAATTGGATGAGAAAAATGCCGAGGACTGCCAAATTGGAAGAGGCCGTAGGGATTTTTCTCTTCCAATTATGTTCAAATTGGCCAAGCATGTAGTCCTGTTACCTATTAATTATATAGCATCCAAAAACAGACGAACAAGGCAAATATTTGACCTTTTAAAGTACAGTAAAATTTGAAAATAGATATTTCTTTGAAAATCTGATGTTTATTGCAATCACACTTGAATCAATCACCTACATGCAGCATCATATTGGAGAAAACAGGAAAATACAAAACTAATTTCTTGTAACATAATAACGCTTTTGCAGAGTGCTTTCTAATTTCGCCAGACTGCCACTTGCGGTCTCGTGGTATGCTGTAACTCTTGCCGTTGTTCTTTAGATGGCGGTCTAAGGAGTCTTGCGTAACAGCAAGGCTATCTGGCTTGTATTCATCTCCGTTTTGCTTTCTTATCTCTGCATAAAATCGGCAAAGAACATCGTCATTCTCGTCTTCGGGAATCTCCTCAAGCTTTCTCAATTCGCTTCGCTCAGCTCGTCACAGGTCAAACACTTTAACCCGGGTTTTTGTGCTTCTTTGTGTGTTCTTTTTCTGATTATTCTCCCTCGTCTCGTGTAAATCAGTAGCATCTATCTCTGGAAACCTAGACTCCATTTGAAAGTTTGGGACGTCAAAAAGGTGGAGAGAAAAGTTTGGAAATTCCGCCATTATCAAAACATAATAAAACTTAGCGAGCTACAATCGCTCGCTGAAGTTTGATGGCAGTGATAATAGCTGCAACCTAATTGGAAAATACTCGGTTCTTTTATTTATCTTGACATTTTATTAGTTGATAAAATGTATCCAGATTTTTCTCAAATTGGACCATTTGTTCAAAGCTAAACTAAACGTTCGAGCAAAAACTATGCTATTTATTTTAAATTTGGACAGTTGGCAAGAATTAATAGAAATAGATCCGTTGGCAATATTGGATTTTGATCCAGCTATATATTTAGGGAACGTAAAATAGATAAATCACCCATCCTTAAAAAAAATAATAAGTTTCTGTGTTTACCTCCAAATTTTGGCCGCAGACGTTTGTCATAATTCTTCAACAACATATTCAAGGTCGCTGTGGCATTTCTCGTTCTCGCTTCCTCTGTTGCATGCCTAATTTGGTACCAGCAGGAACAAATGGTTAAAATAGATATAACGCCTACCACCATAACAAATAAATTCAGTTTCCCCCAATTTCGCGCTAACAACTGAAAACATGTTCAGTTTTCAGCTTTGTAAGCACTTTTGTGTAAAACGCCAAGTAAAGAAACAAGCAATCCAGAACACAGGAACAGGCGACGAAAGAACTAAATGCCAAATCATTAGTTTCATCTCATTTTTGGACATTTCTGTTCAGTTTTCACACTCTGGGTCAAAATAAGGAATTCACAAGAAATGTGACTTCATTTTAACAAGATTATATTCTCTTCGAAATGCAGTTTGATCGAAAGGTATACTGGATAGATTTCAGGCGAAAATATGAATACTCTTATTAAACCTCTCGAAAGTGGCTTTTCAGGAAACATTACGAATGAGAAAATCTGGGGCAGGTATTTGATCATCTTGCGATCGAGTACAAAAGATTTTTTCTGGTTCTAACAGACCTTTATTCACTGCTTTAAGGCAGGGGTTAACATGAAGGCCATATTTTTGCTGGGTATTATGGTTTGAATGCAAATATCTCGTTCACGTTTCAAGCAGTGAAAAATCTCTCTGCTCAATTCATATAGCTACGTTTTGGGCTGTTTTGTAAATTTTTTGGTGTTTTTTGGGTATATTTGGTGATAAATAGTTTTTCTTAAAAGATTAGTAAAATTTATGGGAATAGGAAATTTTCAAGATTTGATGTTGTTTTAAAATTAGAATTTGAAGTTAGAAATTGGTAGACGTACTGGTGGTGTTCCAAACCCCTTTTTATCCTTTTAATCCCTCTTTAAACTTCCTAAAATTTCACTTAAATTCATGTGTACCCCCGCCTTAATATGAGTTCGTTTTAACTGACCGTAATGACGCGTAGAGATTTACTTGTACTGGAAAGAAAAGGGCAACATTCAAATCTGCTGAAATATTTGTTCAAATTGAAGAGGAAGCGTGACAAACTGCCACCTCATGGACAGGAGGATGTATAATTTGACTAGATTACAACACACTATTAGCGGCCAGTTTAACAACGAAATAATGCGAATCTGTTAAACCAATTGCAATAATCGCTATATCGATCAATGCATGTGTCTTGTTGCTGTTACGCGATTTGCGATAAAAATACAGAGAAAGTACACTTACTCTTTAATATCTTCATCCGTTTGTGTTGCTGAGCCCGGAGCTAGAGAGCAGAGGGAACAAGCCAAGACAATTGCTTGGAGTATCATCTAGGAGTTGTCACTGCATCCGAACCTACAAAACGAAAATTAAAACCGGTATAGGATGTAAATCAAATATCAAGAGATTGTTCATCAAAAATGGATAGCGTTATCCCTGCCATTATGCGGTTTCATTGGCATCAGTAGTCTCTGGCGGTATTTTTTTTTCCAATTAAGGTTTTGAAAAATCTTGTCATAGAGGTGAAAGGGGCTGATATTTAAACGACACAAAACAAATGGCTTAGTCTATTAACAGCGATTTCATATTCTTAAAAGTACCACTGTCAATATGTTTGGCTTTAGCAAATTAAAATTAATTTTGATTCTTTTTGATTGATAAAATATTCATTTTATCTCTTTCCATTTTTACTCTTCGGATGGGATTGGGGACTGGTCTGGTCGCATTCGTTTGCTTACGCCTGATAAGCAAGTTCGACAAACAATTCATATTCACTGTTCTGACATAAATATGGTCACTGGGGTGGCGTTTATTTCTCTCAGCTAAGTTTATCAAAAATTACAAGTATTTGATGATACTTTCAGCAAAGGTGGGGAACGAAAAAACCGCCACGAGCCACAGACTGTGGCAGACACTCGAATTCATATTGATTCTTTTTTGCAGATAAAATATTCATTTGTGCCCGCCAAAATATGAATATTCTTCAATCAAAGATTAATTCAGTAATATTAATTTAAATTATTTAGGAAACGTGTGAAATAATCTTTACCACATGAGAGCATTTTTCTTTGTTGATCGAAGGAAGATGACGTAAGGAATATTTAAAAGACAAATATATGACTTGTGACTAAAACATCAACTTGGCAGTGAGAGAGTAGTCACTTTAAAAAAAACGGAAAGAAAAACTTTTAGAAAGACGAAGTGAGGATAAATTTTTTTATAAACTTGGAAGATGATTCCAAACGTATCATTTCATGTTTCAACCGCAGTTATTGAGTATGCCATTCAGACTTTTAGCATGCGTCATTTTTTTGTACTGTTTAGTCTGTTTAGTGATGAAATGACTTTTGTTCCCGTTATAATGACGTTATGCTGTTATCAGACGTGAAAGTACAAGCAAAGTAGAGAAGTATAAATGTACATCTGTTTTTCTTCCGATCTTCATTATGAATAATTGTCTAGATTGCATTTTACCCTGGCGTGTAAGATTTTATTTCTAGAGGTCTGCTTTGCTATGTCACTAAAAGAAAAACTAAAGAGAGTTACTATCAGACTTATGAAGCTGAAATCAGACAGCTTTGATTTATTTATGAATGATCAGACTCGCCGTAAAGTATGCTTTTTAAACAAATAGTTATCTCCTTTACGAAGTCAATGTTAATACACAGTCCTGTAGACAATCACGTTTTCTTGCAGATCGAAACATTTTTAAACAGATTTGTTGTCCTTATATGGTAGTTAACTCTGAACGAACGTTTCCGAACGAAAGCTTCACTTAATAATAGGTGAACGACATAAAGATCGTGTTCATGGATCTTCACGAAAAACACTGTAAGTGTTCTCCAAAAGAAAATTTTGTGCTCTCCAAATGCGTGTTGTTGTCCATCTGTTGAGAACGAAAAAGTCAGCTCAAAAGTTTATGTTAATAACACCAAAGCAATTCCTCTAGAAGAGAATGCTAATTTAATAAGCCAGGCATTCGGTTGAACTAGCGATATTTCCATGCCGTAGATGAGAAAGTCCATTTTAAGCTCCGCAGTGTTCCGTAGCGCAGTTTTATTTTACATATATATTCAGGAAGACCTTTGATTCCGACCCTCTTGTAACCCGAAGGACAATATCATTGCTTTTAAGACATTATCGCCCTGTTTACCATCGATCGAGTCTTCTTGATGCTTATTCCTTAACATTTCAAACTCTTTATAGGTGTTTTTTGGTTCTAAGTTCAGAATTCTGCTGTCTAGGAGCGATCACGACACACGACGCCATGTTTGTTTTGGATGCTGCGATCAATTTTCTTTTTTCTCTCCTAGCCCCTAGAATGTGCATTGAACCAAAACATAATAGGTACCAAAGAAATCTCTGGGGAGTGGGAAAGAGGAAATTTCTTAGTATTTCAAAGGGCCACTTGCCTCACCTACCCTGCAAGGGAGTTTATACGCACATATTGTGTCCAGCTGACATCTGAAGGCCACGATTGCAATCAGATAAAATCAACTAAATTTAGTTCACAAAGATATAAGTGGCCTCAAGGTATCACCAAGTTAATTAGGTTTCAGCAAGGGTTCAGACATTATTTTGTATGAGTTCCTCTCAGTATTATGGTAATGACTTGGTTATAAGTAGAATCAAGCCTGAATCTTGTGAAAAAAATTTGCTATGGTATCGCCCATTTTAATTCATCGAGTTTAAAATATCTACTCGCGGATCAACAATGTGCACACAAATGAAATCATTGACAATGGGCCATATTCTGATCTTCTGGCATTATGTTTTTTTTCTCTTAAGAGATTTAAAACAACTAAAATAAAAACAAAGAACGAACGTAAAGGTAATATATTGCAAGCAATCAGTTAAGCATACGTTTTTAAGATAAGGCTCAAAGGGTTTTTAAGTCTCCTCTTATAACTAGCACAAGGAAACATCTTCAGGTCTAAATGTGAAAATACTTCAAAACATGGGGTTTAAAACAGTGTACATAATCAGTACCATTTATCAAAAAATAGGATGCAAAAAGCCCAGGATGGTAAACCACATTGAATATTGATACGCTCCGAAGCTTGTTGTCAACGTAAGAGCAGGTAGTTCCCATCGGAAGTTAAACCTCTGAGTACTTAAAATAAACAATGGCAAAATTTACAAAGCAGAGAGCAATTTAAATAAAATACAATTTCAACAGACTTCGCAATTTTTTTTAAGCTGCTTCTTTTGTGACTGAGTTAAATATGCTAGAAAAGAAAAAGAAGAAAGATAAATGCTCAGAGGTGCTTATTTAACAACTTTGGAACCCCATCTGTCGGTTGACTGGTAGTCATTAATTAACTTGAGCATTCTTAACTTCACCGGCTTATTATAGTGCAATATTTATGTCAATATGTTAATTATTAGGTAGATAACTAGAAAACTATAGCAAGACATAAAACGTGTTAATTCAGTAGTCATACAAGCAATAAAAACATGTTAAAAACTAGTCAGTTTTGGTTGATTTTGTATCATGCTATGCACTATGAAATGTGACCAATGCTTTGAAAATTCAGGAGATTATCAGCACAGAATGTTGGTGACAACCTGCATGCCTGAACTTGCCGGAGGAACACGACTCAGTAATATTCAATAGTAAAAGTTACTTCAACTGTAGGCTGCGAATGATTAAGATATCCAAAAACTGGGTGTGTTTTTATGTGGAAGTTATTCTACCTTATAAATAAATATTGAACCTTTGGCCATTAGATATTGCTCCTCTTTACCAATGTTAACGGCATTCAGAAAACATAATTCGAACAGTATATTTCGTCAGACTAAATCATGAATAAATTGCAAAACCACTGAATTTGAGGAATAATATACAGAATTCCTTTAGTAGTTGAGCGGAAAATTCTTAACCTAGAGAGCACTTACCACTCGTTCACTGAATAGTAATTTCTACCAGTATCCATTTGTATTGACGAACAGCTTTCAATTAGAAGAAACTCAGCGAGGACGTATTTTACGAAGGAAATGATAAAATGACAAGTTCGTATTAACTGTAATTTCACCTGTACAAAATATCAAATCGTGACATGCTAGGGATCCATCGATTTGTTCTTAGGTAATGGCTGTTTCAAGTTATTGTGTTGGTTTTCTGGTTTCATGGTTAACCTGTGTCATTGATTAATTCAGTATGTGTTTTCGTTGATTGGTTTCTCTTTGTTATTTGTCCTCGCAACGTTTTCAAACTGCGACGTTCCTTAACTATCAACAAGGCTTTTTTTTTTTTTTAAAGCAAACCTCATCCACAAAAACGACCATCAAAGTCGATAACACTTGTTTATTGATCGATAAGTATAATGAGATCACTATCAAGACAGTCCCGTAAATTTCGCTATCCTTTCCGCACACCAATCAGCAGCGCACTGTTCAATGCAATCTTTGAATTAGAACCAGGTAGAATTACATAAAAACGTTACGCTCACTACGATCTATGGCCTCTTTATAGAAAGTTAGAGGTTGTGATAAAATGGCACGAGAGAGCTTATTTTAGAGAAATTGAAGGAAAACCTTGCATTAAGGTAAGATTCCACACCTGGCCATCTGGACAAACATTTTTTCTGCGTTTTGTTGTGTAAGATGCACGCAAAATTAAATTCTTGTTTACACTTTATTTGACAATATGAATCATCCCTAATGTAGTAAAAAGGATTATTCCAAAAAAAAAACAAAAAAAAATGAGAGAGAGAGTTTCCATCAAGAAATATTCAAATAATATTCACTTTTTGAGAATCGTTTGTCCTCATTTCAATCACATAGACCCTTCATGTTTTTGTTCGGTACATGTATGCTGTACTGAGGTTAAACTGCGCAAAGCAATGTGTAGAAAAAGAAGGAAACTGAACAAATACGACTTCTTTGTTCTTTGTGTTCAATCTTTGCTTTCTAAGAAAAGAAAACAATTTCCTTTTAATTAATACAAAGAAATATTGACAAGCTAAGTTGAAATGTTTGCGCAGGTTTAGTCCAAGAGTTGGGTGCATCATTGCTTTCTTTCACGACATCCAAGCTAGTGAAATGGCTAGGTTTGTGTTCCTTATCTTTGTGATTTTTACGATTCCTCGTTCCACCTTTCAGTTCCCGGAGGAAGGTAAGCGCATGTGAACCCTCTCGTCCTTAATTGGGAAGACAGGCCTCCAAGGAAAGAAGGGCTGTGAAATACAAACACCTCGATGGCACCTCTTATTTTCAGTGTAATGTTTTCACTCTCTTTTTCTTTTGGTTGCATATTGGGAGCAGGAATGGCCTAGTTAACTCTTTAACCGTTCGAACCCTACCATTGTGTTTGCCGATTTGATTCCAGCTTACAGCCATTTGTTGGTTGAGTCTATTTTTCCTCGTCTTATTCTGTTCCTCCCCAAACTCAAATCTTCCTCCTTCCCGAGAAAGAAGCACGTATTCTAGGGGTTCCGGGGCTAGAAAACAAATGATATCTAGTGGCTTAACTCTCTACGCAACTGAAGTTCATGTTGAGCTCAGTGTGCAATTTCCTTTGGTTCTGTAAGGAACTTTCCACCAGCTTGTTTCACTTTGTTTTCATTGTTGTTTCTTCCATCTAGTTTCATTTACACCTAAGGTACATAGTGATTTGTGGGTGTGCCCCTGCCAGGAGTTATTTATTCTAAACATGATTAGTTGGCTCAACTAGTTCATTCTAAACATGAGATGTGCCATCAATCGGAATTAATTCTCAAATTTTCCACTGAAAGGGCCCTTTCTGTTCTCCTTTTGGTATTGCCTGGACGTTTCAGATCGTTTTCTTTCAGAAAACATCAAAAAAAAAAGTTTTCCCTCCCAATTCCAGTTTCCTTTCTTACGTTCTCTGGGATGCAGTTCGGAAATTCCTCATGCAAGTTGCCTGGTCACCTTTTAGAGCTTTCGCTTTATTATCTACAGACGACACAATCTTATTACCATTTTTACTTGGATCCTAACATCAGGATTATCAAAATTCATTTTTCACAGAAAATGGCGAGGAATCACTTCATGAAGGTGACATTAAGCTGTCTCTTAATCAGCAAAGAGCCCTTAAGCTGTTTGGAGATCCAACCGCCCCGGTCTTGGGCGCTAGAGGAATAACAAATAACAAGAAGCTACTGTGGGTCCCGAACGTGGTTCCATACAACATATCACGTGAACTAGGTACACTTATCCTTTAACCAGTAACAGTCAGTCATTGATATCGAGTCTCAGATAGTGTCCAATCCCCTGTGGGAAAAAAGGTGTTGGTTGTGCATTTTACCACAATACCTATACGCGCGTGTGCTAACGACATTGTCCATGCTAGTTTTGAAGATTTTAAAACTTTTTTGTACGCTTTTATGAGCGTTGTTAAATTTTCGTGCACTAAGAGTTATGGGTAAATGCTCCAATTGTTAAGTTTCCGTGAGCTAAGAATTATGGGTAAATGTACCAGTCGCCATCTTTTTGCACTTCGGAGGATTTCGATATACACTATAGGTTGCGAATAATTTGTACCATAAGCAGCTGACAAAATACAAATAAACCGTGCAGCAGGTGTTAATAAAGGGTGGCCAAGTTCTTCTAGCTCTTGACCCTTTTGTTTCTCGTTCTTTCTCACGAAGAGTTAATTTGGATTGATGGAAGAATGACATACCCCACTTTTTTAAATTCAGATGTGAAGATTTAGTCGTACCGTTATGTAATATGAGATAGCATTCTTTATTGTTATAACATGATTCATTATTAATAGCAATTTTGGGAAATTAGATCGCGGACGCAACAGAAACGACATGTATGCTAGCCCGTCCGCCTTTTGTTAAAATATTATAATGAGTTGTTCTTCTCTATAGCTGTTGTTTGTCCTCCGTGTTTATCAAAATATATCAGACGCCTCATGTTTTAAGGCTGCTCGAAATGGTTTATGATAAGTAACCTTGTTTAAATTTCGTCTTTGTGATAAGTGTTCTTGTAGGATCGTTAACCTTTCCAACTAATAGTGATTTTACATCCCATTTGCCACAGAGGAATTATAATTTCAGTGTTGTTGTTGCAGCAGCAGCATGCTTGTGTCATTGACAGAAAATTCATTTTCTTATCTACTTGCCAGGTTAAAACTCGTACATCTAATTATTGTCGGAGTTGTTCTGTTGTTGTTTATTTTCTTTTGTTTTCAGTTTTGTTTTGTTTTGTTCTGTTGTTGTTTGTTTTGTTTTGTTTTGTGCTGTTCTATCCTCACAGTTCTGTTTGGTTTTGCTTGTTTTTTGTTTTGTTTTGTTTTTTTCTAGTTACACATAGCTGACAACCACCGTTGACATTGTTGTTTCAGATGAGAATCCCACGGCCAAAGCCGTTATTCTCAGCGCCATGCAAGAATGGGAACAGAGTTCTTGCTTGAAGTTTGTGAGACGAACAACCGAGAAAAACTACATTGCGTTTTTCAAAGGAAGCGGGTAACATAATATTTTGTGAAAACGGGCACAAATACACAAAGGTAACCGGGTGGCGGGGCGCGGTTGTATCTGGAACGATGGGGAAGGTGGCTAGGAATTTAGGAACGTTAAGGGAATGTCAGGGTGTAAAGACTGTTATGCAAAGTTTTTTTTCTTTGGCATAATAGTACCTTAAGTAAATAGCATACTAAGCAACTTTTTCTCAGTAGAAAAAAAAAGGGTTCGGGTATATTTAAACGGTAAATTAAGTCATTAAGTTCATGATGTTAGGTGTTAATTTTGACATCAGACCCAATTAAATGAGATTCTCAATCAATGCTTTGCTTTAGCTTAGTCTATATATATATATATATATATATATATATATATATATATATATATATATATATATATATATGTGTGTGTGTGTGTGTGTGTGTGTGT